CGGCGGCGCAGCGGCAGAAGGCGTCGATGCAGGCCCAGATGACCTTGCGCGTGAGCAGGTGCGCCGCCGCGGGGTCGCAGGCCTCCGCGTAGACGCGCTGCACCTCCTTCTGGAGCCGTGCCCGCCCGTACGCGGTGGCTGTGATGCAGTAGATGAGGTCGTCCATCGGCACCCCCGCCGCCCTGCGCTGCTGCAGCGTCGCCTCCATCTGGTCGAAGCGGCGCGCGCGGCCGTAGCCGTCTGCTAAAATGTTGTACGTGACGGCGTTGTTGGTGTAGCCCTTCTCGAGGAACTCCGCGTGGAGCTTCTCCATCTTTGCCACGTCGCCTGTCTTGGCGTATGTGTTCATCATCTGGTGGTACGTCACGGACGTGGGCAGCGTGTCGGGCGACGACTTCATGTCCTCGAAGAGCGACTCCATCTCCGCCACGCGCCCGGACTTGCCCAGCATGTCGAGCACCGTCGTGGCGGTGACGGGGTTCGGCGGCACGTGCTTCATCATGTTGTTCAGCACCGCCTGCATCTTCCCCGTGTTGTGCTGCCGGCTGTAGAGCAGCAGGAACTGGTTGTACACCTCCGTGTCGGGGAACAGCTTCGACGCGAGGAGGTCGTCCCAGGCGTTGCTTACGCCGTCCGCATCGCCCATTCTGCTGAGAGAGGAGGCCAGCACGGAGTAAAACGCCGCCGACACCTCGCCCTCGTGCTCCTTCAGCAGCTGGATCACGTCGCGCACCTTCTCCCCGTCGCCCCAGCGGGCGTAGGCGGTGATAAGGGTGCCGAATGTCACGTCGTTCATCGCCACCTCCTCCGCCTTCATCTTGCGGATGAGCTCGCTCACCTTGTCGCGGTCGCCGGCCCTGCCGTACTTGTTCAGCAGTACGTTGTAAACATCCGTGGGCCACGCCGGGATCCCCTCGAGGAACTTGGCGAGCTGCTCCGCCCCCTCCGCGTGGTTGGCGTACACGTGCAGCATGCTTGTCTGCACATGCGGGTGGTCGGTGAGGCCGCGCTTCTTCGCCTCCGCGTACATCGCCTCCGCCTTGGCGAGGTCGCTGCTGTAGATGCGGATGAGGATGGCGAATGTGACGGGCGTCATCTGCAGCGTGCCGAACTCCTCGCGCCGCTTCATCTCCTCCATGATGGCCTCCACCCGTGCGGTGTCGCCGAGGTCGCCGAAGATGCCGATGAGTGTGTTGTACAGCTGCACGTCGGGCCGCACGTGGCGCTGCAGCATCTCCTCGTAGAGCCGCTCCACGTGGCGCGGGTAGTACCTGCCGAGCGCCCGCAGCGCCCACGCGTACGTCTGCGAGTCGGGGTGCACACCCGCCGCGTCCATCTCCTCCTTGAGCGCGATCACGTCCTTCACGTTCCCCATCAGGGCGAACCACTTGAAGAGCTCGTTGTAGACGCGCACGTCGTCGGTGAGGCCCTTGTGCTGCATGCGCGTCCACGCCGTCTTGAT